ATTATTTTCATAGATTGCTTATGTACCAAATAAATTTAGATTATTTTATTAAAATGTAGAAGAAAATACAAAAATTTGTTAAAAGTTAATTATACATTTCTAAATACATTTTTTCCATTTGAAAATGAGAGCAACACACTAAATTCTGTTACTTTTTTTTAATATTTCTTTGTTTTGTTTACGTATTAAGTGACGATCCAATAATAATTAAGAAGATTCTACTAATTGTAAGATAATAAGTTTTAATTAGATCCATTAATGGGTTTTTATTTTCTTGGGATATAATTTGTTGTGAACCTTTCCGTGGTTAAATCAGCTAATTACTTTTTTATGGATTAGAAAATATTACACACTACTGCTCAAAATTATGTACAATTTCTGCTAATGTATATAAAGTGGAGCAAATAACAATAAACAATAAAGAAATTGGTCTGTGCTTCAGAATATGTAGAAAAGTAAAATAAAAAATATTATCACATTGCTAGTTTTTAAAAAATGTTAATTTAAATACACTTCCCTGGTTATTACTTGAATTAATTCATTATACGTATGTTACAGTAAAAATTAGGTATCAAAAATTTCAAATTCCAGGATAAATTATTAACAAATAATCATTAAACATACGTATACAGAAAAAAAATAACTATAACTGGTGAGGTAATTTTAGTCTAATTATAAGTTAATTACACAGGAAAATAAAATTATTATTTTACTTGGCATATTTTACTATAATACTAAAACGAAGATGCAATTGAAATAAGCGACTTACGATTTAATTACTAAATAAATTCCATTGCAACTAATAATCATCAATAGTTAGAAAAACTTTTTAAGAATAACAAATAACGTTATTACGGTAATTACTTATTTTATGCTAATGAAATAGATGTTTTTACTATAATAACACCAAAAGTACAAATGAAGAAAATAAAAGATTAGAGATGCAGTTTTCACTACAAATTATTAAATTTAAATCAGTTTATAACAATTAATGACAAGAACAAATCGTTTACTGTTTTAATAAAAATAATATGGTAAATAAAGAGCGCTCTAATAGTACCTACATGCTAAAAAGTGTAAAAAACTAAGCACGATAATCTATATTCTCAAAAACAAACGTCTCCTACAAAAAAGTAAAGCATTTTGATTTTTGGCATTAGTTAGATGTTTCTAATTTCCCATTTATTCCTAATTTTGTCATAAGATAATAAAACATTTTTTAATTCAAATGAAGTATTGCCACACTGCCACTACATAAAATAAATTTAATTTAAGGAAGTTCAATTACAACTTTTAAATTGTATATACGAATAAATTGAATAATAAAATTTAAAAAATGAAAGGTATATACATCCCAATTTCGTATAAAGCTACATAAAGCAAGATAATATTTATTAATTTGCAGTTCTACAACATTAAATGAAAAATCAAAAACCAGACTGAACTTGCTTATCATAATTAATGCATATATTCGCTGACGTATACCCAGCTTTTCATTACAAGAGCTAAGGATGGGACACACCATTCACTATTTATTATAGTTTTATGTTTTATACATTTAAAAAAAGAGTTGCGTACGTCCATATAAATTATTTTAAAGAAGTTCACGTTGGTCAGTAATTACATTAATTACGAATTAGGGAACTTACCTTTAATTAATGAAGTTTCATGTAGGTACGATTCCTTAGGTGTGATAGTTTACAATAAAATTCAGGATTCTGGGGTTGCAAAATTATCTGTACCACAGCGCAGTTGGAAGGTAAGGTCCTTCAACAGTTACACAAATAAGCAAAACCACGATTTTATGTTAATCCTTTTTTTAACATTATGATATACTAACAACGATTTATTCATTCGTAAACACAATAAAATACACGACTGTTGTACTCATACTGTAACATTTCCTGTTTAAACTGACTTTCGATTGACCGAGGATAGAAAAAAAACTTATCTACAAGTATAAGGTCGTGTCTTTATCGTTCACTGTTATACGAAAACATATTTTCTGTTGAAATATTTTAACTCTATTNATCAAAGTTTTTCTGGTATATTAATAAATAATTTCTGTGGTTTAATTCTCTCTGTCGAAATTATTAATGTTGATTTTAATTATTCAAAATTTGAAGCCTTCATAAAATTATTAGGTAAATCCTGCGATTTGTAGTTACTTTTTACCAAAAGATGACCTAATACGTACTTTGTATACGTATACATAATGCAGTGTCAATTAATTTCATTTAGGTGTTTAAAGAAATTAAAAAGACGATATAGATGATGTAAACTATAGATGTATAATACCACAAAAAAACAATGCAATATTCGTCTTATACAGGAACATAATAAGTTTTAGTTATAAAACCGTTGTGAAAAAATTGACGAGCATCATTCGTTGGTATAAGGGTAGAAAATTTTCATTTTCATTTGAGATAATTCAAAATCACAACTGTTTTTTCATTCTTGTGCCAACGAATGATGCTCGTCAATTTTTTACTACGGTTTTATAACTAAAACTACATTTCTCTTCCTTCGTATGCAATTTAAAAACACGGATATTTTCAAAAATACAATGCTTTTTGAAAACGTACAAATAAATTTTAGACTTCAGATGTCTACGAAGTAACTTACAAATTCCTCAATCTTTGGACAGAAGATTAAAAATTCATTGAATTGTTGCTATATGCTACGAAAAAAAAGAGTACATTACTTTTCTTCTTAATCAATTGCTATTTGTGATTAAGAAGCATCTATCTCCGTTACTATTATTACTCTATTCTACTTATACGCTCATCACAATTTTTTCACATAAAACTAACACATTTGTCCGCATTTTTAACTGTAGGCATTAATTCTCTATCAGAAATAGTATAAAATGTATTGGATGCACAGTAAAAATGCTCACGTTGAAGAAATATACAAAATAAAATAAAAAAAAAATCACACATTAACAGTGTTGTGTTATAAAATCATATTTATTTTCATAGATTGCTTATGCACCAAATAAATTTAGATTATTTTATTAAAATGTAGAAGAAAATACAAAAATTTGTTAAAAGTTAATTATACATTTCTAAATACACTTTTGCCATTTGAAAACGAGAGCAAGACACTAAGTTCTGTTACTTTTTTTTTTAATCTTTCTTTGTTTTGTTTACATATTAAGTGACGATCTAATAATAATTAAGAAAATTCTACTAATTGTAAGATAATAAGTTTTAACCAGACCCTTTAATGGGCTTTTATTTTCTTGCGATATTATTTGTTACGGACCTTTCCATGGTTAAAGCAGCTAATTACTTTTTTATGGATAAGAAAATACCACACATTACTGCTGGAAATTATGTACAATTTCTGCCAATGCATATAAAGTGGAGCAGATAACAATAAACAATAAAGAAATTGGTCTGTGCTTCAGAATATGCAGAAAAGTAAAATAAAAAATATCACATTGCTCGTTTTTAAAAAATGTTCTATGTAAAAAAGAACACTAGCAGTTTGATAACTCAATTCCCATTACCATGGTCAAAAATTAAACTAATAAAAATAAAAAAAATATTTAAGACATCTTTTAATCCAAAATACTCCGAATAGCTCATGTCAGCTATTGAATATTAAAATTACAAATAAAAGTGAAAACACTAAAACACCAAAGAGTAATAATAAATACACTTCCCTGGTTATTACTTAAATTAATTAATTATACGTATTTTACAATAAAAATCAGATATTAAAAATTTGTAAGGGCAGAATTGGTCGCGAAGGGTTGTTAAGTAATCAATAAGACATTTGAGAACGTTAACCCTTTTGGAACACATAAGGCATGCTTGTTATCACGAAAAAATCTGCAGCATTTATAAAAGTGAAATTATTANCAATAAAAATCAGATATTAAAAATTTGTAAGGGCAGAATTGGTCGCGAAGGGTTGTTAAGTAATCAATAAGACATTTGAGAACGTTAACCCTTTTGGAACACATAAGGCATGCTTGTTATCACGAAAAAATCTGCAGCATTTATAAAAGTGAAATTATTATTCTCTTAATGGAAAATTAGCATTAGTTTAGTATAATCTCTTAGAGAAGAAAATTTCATGTTTTAAATACGAAAAGTACATTCGCTATAATGTTTTATAGGGGCAACACTAAAAACTTCCCATATCTACCACACGAATAAATAGATGGAATGTTTTTTTTTTGTTAATTTTTTGTTTCTTATTAACGTATTGGTTCTAAAAGGAAACTGCTCTCTAATAATCTTCTTATTGGAAGTTACCTGCTCCACTGTTATAAAAAAGCCGACATATACATATAGAGGAAAACCTCCAAAAAACCACTTCCAAATTACAACTCAACTAATAAATCTGTGAAATAACTAGAATTGCTTTCTATAAAAACCACAACCGTTTTGGGAGCCTAAGTTCTGTCGCGACCTTCCATTTTGGGTACACGGGGGTGGAGGTACGTGACCAAATGTGGCCACACCGCCACTAAAATGCGGGCCGGAGGGTGGAATCGCTCGGTTGCCATTTGAGCTGACGTTTGGAGGTGGGGTCGTGAACTTTGGAAGCCCTAAACACGGTGGGTAAGGCATGGGACATACCTGTCCCGTTCCCTGGGTCTTGGGGATAGAGGTACCGTTTCCATTGGGCCGGAAATTCATATTTCCAGGAGGAATTGGGGCGGGAGTTTGCATACAATTTGCAAAAGGCCTATAAACCGGTTGCATACCATAATTTGTTACCATTGGAAGAGGACCGTTACGTAATGAAGGAGGAAGGCTTTGCATTGGGGGGCGACAGGGTACTGGAGGTGCTGCTTTTGTGGACTGACGGCCATATGTTTGCGATTTAGGTAAAGGAACGTTTGTTTGCTGTTGTTGAGACATCGAAGCAGAGGACTGCGTTTTTCCCAAAGAGTTAGAGTGGTTTCTGGAACCATTACCATGCCTCCTGTGAGTATTGCTTGTTCGATCAGTTTGTTGTAAATTGTGCCCGTTTTTAATGATGCCTTGATGGGGGAATGGCATGGTACCCGGTGGCAGTGGATTTATTGGCATAACCGTTGGGGGAGCCGAGGCCACAGATTGGGCAATAGGAGGCGGAATGTTCATGGGTGGTAAAGTAGGTGGAACCGGCGGAGGCACAGAGCATGGCGGCGGCACATTCATAGGTGGGAAAGCCAACACTTGACTCGCGAACGTGGGAAAAGGTTGACAGAAGTGATTCTGAAAGAGGGGTTGCATCCCGAATCCTGGAGAGGGAGGTGGTATTGTGGGAACGAAAGACCACTGAGGTTGGGGTAATATCCCAAAGGCGGCTGGGGGTTGACTGGGTCTCACGAAATTCGTTGTGGGTTGTGTGTATGTGGTGTTTCCTGCGAATGGATTAAAGGTACGGTTAGCATGAGTGTTTGAGTTTGTGTTCTTTTTATATTTGGGTTCGCAAGAGTCTTTTAACTTGTGATAAGCACTGTCCAATTTGTTACGTTGATTCATTTCCATCTCGAAGATCTGGTGACGCTCAAGACTGTTTCGTTTCCTTTTATTCATGTACATTTCGTATTCGTCGTTAGTGCAGTTAGTAACACTGAACTCTTCTTCATCATCAGAAAAATCGACAAACTCTGGAGGTACTTCGTTATCACCTTGCCAAGAGGCGTCTGATCCTTTGATCCTGAGATAAGATAGAACGCTCTTTTAAATAAATAAAACACACTAGTCATTGCAATTTTATACTAAACTTCAACATAACTTTATAGAAAAAAAATAAGATTCTAAACTTAATGAGATTCTTGTTCCAAAAACAAAAAAGTATCCAAATTTTGAATTTTGTCATTAGAACCTATTAAAAAACAAAAATTAAAACAATAATAATTTTAAGTAAGAGAAATTCATGCCTTAGTAATTCTTTGAGAAACACGTATTGTGTGTGTTCGGTTTTAGGGGCCGAATATACAGCAAGCTCCTTTGTGATACCTCTGGTATCAATTTCTTGACGAGAATTGAAACGAATTGCATACATAGGAGATGACACAGGACCAATAACATCATAGACGTGACCCAAAGGACGTTTACCCTTTTCCAAAAAGAGTAAAGTGTCCACATCATATGCTGGTGTCTCAGGCAATGACTGAACCATTACTTTAAGAAAATATTCAGTCTTAAAGATAATAACAAAAATTTTTATGGTAAAACAGTGGAAATTTACCCAATTTGTCAACGATACTGGTAATTGTTCCCATTTGAATGCAGTCTTCTTCTTTGACATCAATTTTTAAAGATGACAAATCAGGAACTGGGGGTAAATCATCAAGAGTTAATTCTCCTTTTACACGTGGAAGTTCTGTCTTCTTATGAGCTGTATTGGTGTTTGTGGTATTCACTAAGGCTTCTTCAACTTCTTGTTCATCTTCCTCGTTTTCACTAAAATTGATAATAGATGCCATTGTAAATCAACTTACCACATAAAGTAAGTAAAATAAACTTACATACATAAAGTAAAATATGTGATAATTAAATGCCCTGGTTTTGAAGTAAATAAATAAACATAATATTATAATGTAGAAGAATGAAATAAATTTTACCTCTCTTCAGATGAGCTGGTCTCAGAGTCACTTGTAGACTCTTTGATTTTACGATAACAGGCACTGTTCTGTATCACATCAGTTTCTTCACACTCTGGTTTATTTATCAACTCACTGTCTGAGCTACTGTCCTCAGAGCTGCTTTCTGAGAAGATTACATAATTACATTATGAAGCTGATGTTTGTTTATTATTTGAAACATGGTTCTCATTCATTGGTATCTTTTTATTTAAGTTTGGTATCATATCCTGGCTTTCACTCTCTCTTTCTGAATTATTCGAATCATTATCAGTCTCTTCTGAATCGCTCTTATAGACAGATAAATTTAGTAAAGCTGACATGTTTACTGTTGATTTTTCTGATGTAGGTAATAAGTTGCCACTTAATTGTCCAGTATTTGAATATTCGCAGTTCTTGTTGTTGTTTATGGTATTATTTATTGCATTATGTTGGTTTGAGGTTATGCTTATTGTCAAACTTTCCTCTCGTTTTTCTGAGTTTTGGCTGTTAGCAAAGGATGCTTCACTGATTATATTTAAACTTTGATGAGATTTTAATTCCTCTTTTACATCAAAATTTGCTTTACTGCTACAACTAAATGCTTCAAAAGAGTTTAAAGAACTGGCTACAACTTCTTCTATTTTGAATTTATCTTCTGTATTCGAGTTATTATCTCCTTTCATATTGGATGCACTACCGTCACTTACATCAAATTCTAAATTATTATCACTACACATTGGATTTGAGGTGCATTTTTGTGCTAAATTGTTCGTAGCCTTATCGACTAGATTTTCCATTATCACAGACACTGACACTGCAAATAATTATTAACACTAATAAAATTCAATTTACTTATATTAAATTATATCACTCATGCATCTAATTTAAAGCTTATTTGTGTTGGAGAATACAGTTTAATTAAGCACATGTTTGATACGCCTTAAAAATCGCCATTTGTAATTTCATTCCTCTGGTATTTTTAGACGTCATCTAGAGATGTGTTTGATGTTTTCAAAGCTACATAGTATTCGATTTCTAGTGGAATTTTGATTTTTTGAGTAATCGTATACTTTAAAGCAATGTATTTTTACTTTAATAAAATTAAAAGTAAAATATTTGTTAAGTATATCCACTAAAATCAGAATTACTTCGCATCTCTAGCGAGAAATACTACAAGACGATCTAAACAGTCCTGCAAAAAAGTGGCAATGGGCGTTGACAACCTTGAATTAATGGAATGACGGCGTATTTTTAATGATTACTCTGTTTGTTCTTTGCGACTAAAGTACATTAATACCTAATATTCTCAATAAATTCCATTTCCAATTATCATTTAATACTTAATTACAATTTGTTTTTATTGGTGTAAAGTTCGACAATGCAGCACACTTCTCTGTATGATGTGTTGCCTGAACACAAAAATGAGTTTAAATACAAGGGACGTTAGGAAATTTTTGTCACAATTACAAACAAAACGGCATTCAAAAAAGAAACTTAAAATAGAAAAGTTCAATTACTTGTTATTTACATCAGTACAATATCAAAACATGTCAGAGACCATTTTATTTGAGTTTGTTGCGAATTAATTCTTAATTTGATAACTTTTTAATTTTGTATAGTGTATGTATTTAATTCTCTCTTAAATGATATAGAACATTCAAAAAGAAATTGCTATAATAAACTTTAAGACAAGTTGCAGTTTAAATTTAATTTTCTTGCTCTCATAACAATTCCTTTGTTTAAACAAACTGGTAAAGTTTTTGCGGTCAGGTGGTCAACTGATGCTGTCCTGATTCGGACCTAAAGGCCGTTGTCAATTAGAGTTCCTTTTTAACGTTTCGCTAGCATGAGTAGCATGCTTCTTCAGAGGTCCTTCCATTTCCGTAGCTGGATGTGGATGTAAATTTTTCGTTTAAACTGTAGATTCCGAAAATTTAAGTTGTATAAAGACGTTTTTTAGTTCTTGGTGCCATTTTCACGAACAGGAATCCATTTCTCATGCTCTATATTTATATTTATCGTTAAAAAATAGCAATTTTAAAGTCATTATTATGTCCTTTCTAACGTGGTAGGAATGTAGATAGTTAGCTACCTACTGTGGCTACATTTATTGATGCTGATTTTATATGCCAACAATAACGTAATGTTTGTATATTTGATCCACACATTTATAAATGTCATCATTTCGTATTCAGCACACGAAATACAATTCTTTGTTTGCTTATTATGTGTGACAGGTATAGAGTTAAGGCAACTATTACTGCTTCTGAGCTGGTGCTTCTACCTTCAACTACAAAAGATAAACTTCTGCCTATTGTTCTAAAAGAGCGAGCGTCAACAAAAGGTAACGCGGACATGTAAATAATGTTGGAAAAGTATTTGCTTGTTACTTTGAAATTTATTTCGGCACGTTATTAAGAAGTGGAGTAGTGTAAATGGTTTTGCGTAGACAGTTTATGTGAGTACGTGTAACTTTTAGATAAAACGGTTTTCAATTGGATAAAATTCATAGGCCGATTTCTACATGAAAAGTCAACGAAAGGTAAGCGCATACATGCATTTCATTCCCTTTTTTAATCCCCCGACTATTTCAAATTATTTTCTTTGTCACAATGTGCTTTTTCTATTTCTAAAGAAAAGCAGACATTAAATTCCTTCCAGGGCGTAAGCTATTAGGGTGCCTTGATGAGCCAAGGTCGATGCATTGGAAGTTCTGATCCATGTGCTTGCTAAATCTTAACTTAATCCGCGAAAGCGATAAATCAATCATTCCCGTTCACATAATCCAAGAGGCGCATTGCTTGATTCAAAATTATGCGTAGACAGTTTTCACTTGATAATGCAAAAGAGTACGTTGATTTTTGATAACTCAGGATTGAAAAAATATAGAACAAAAAATGCCGCAGGCTCGGGTAGTTTTTAACAAAAAGGAATCACTTATAATTTGTAAATTCCAAATTTATTAAAGGTATATGTCTGGAGCACAGCTCTGTAGGGGCCTGAGTCGAGGGTGGGTGTTAGGAAGAAGATAAGGCTGGAAGCCCCTGGGATGTGTGCTATAGAAAAATCTTAAAAATACCACGGTTAGAAATGATATAGTACATACTAGAAAGAGTCGGAGAACAAAGGGCGTTATGGAAATCAATAAGAAATAAGCGAGATAGGTTGGTAGAACACCTTCTCAGACATGAAGGGTTAGAGACATATTAGAAACACAAAGTGGAGTTAAGAGGGTTAGAGTAGATTTACAGTAGATTACCGTTTGCAAATAATTTCTCGAGTTTTGGAGAAATGCGAAGATTGGCTCAAGATAGGAAGAAGTAGAGGGCTGGGAACGCTATGATGATGATACTGAGCATGATGCATGATGATGTGTCCAAGTAGAGATCCATGGCGATTTATTTCTCGGTGAATATGATTGTCAAGTTAAAGAAAATTTCACTTCCCTGACGAGGGATATTAAAAAATAGGATACGCAGTAGAGGTGGAAACACCTAAGCATGCAGCCTGAGTCACATTTCCTTCTTAGGTACTTAGGAACTGGAAGACGTTTTGAGTTGTATGACTTGCGGTTTTACATTATCACTTTTACGTCACTCAAAGCGCCTTGAGTTATTTGGAAAATAAAATCTACACGTTCATCAATAAATCTAGTCTCAATAATAATACAAATAACTCAATTAATTAATTATTTTTTATCAAATATAATGATACCTTTAAAGGCAATACTGTCATAATTTATTAATACCAAAGTTCTTTGTACCTAGTAAGTAGTACCTATAGTAGAAGTACTAAATAAAGTAAACGTTAACATCATCATTTTATTGAGATTTGTCCACAGTCATTCGTCCGTACTTTTAGATATTTTTTATGTGTTACATTAATTGCGTTTCAAGGGTACTTTTTGCGCATTTTATAAAATAAATATATAATTAAGATGAACTTAGATAGTAATTAAGCAGCTACAATTATTTTTCTCTCTCGTGACTAAAGATAATATCGCAGTATACAAGTACTAATGAGAAAGTTAAAACTTCAACTTTCGCTATGTATATTATTTGGCAGGTGTTGTGAAGACATTTTTTGCTGCATAATCACTTCTAAAATTACAGTGTAAATCAAAAATTGGTTTGGAAACTCTAAATTGTGATTACTATTTATAGAAGAATTCTTATAATTATATGTATCCATAAAATTAATTACGTATGTAGTCCTAAAACAACTGATCTGTTTTCAGATTCGTTCTGGACATGAGGAGACAACTAAGAAATGACAAAAGTTTTTACTACTAGCCATCTATTTTTTGTCATTTTTAGTACGTCATACGTATTTACAGAAGACCTCTTTTGCCCACCTGCTTGGCCCACGACAAAAGTTCAACCTAGTGACACCGATATTCCTGCTTTGGAATTTTTGGGATACGACTCAGAAAGTGAATGCGTTTGTCGAAAAATACCCAAAAAGTGGACTGTATGTTACGGGAGTGATTCGTGCTATCGATTTCCGAGGTCCTTTAAAATCGATACCACCTTGTTGAGAGTTAAAACGACAAGGATTTCTGAAATACTCGCGGGAGATTTACAATCTGTAACTCATTTAGAAAGTTTGGAGATTGAAGGAAATTTTCACCTATGGCGTATACAACCTGGTACCTTCTTCAACATGACCAAACTCATCAAGATGAGTATATCGTACAATACCAATTTGAAAGTCCTGGAAAAAGAAACATTTAAGGGATTGATTAATCTCAAGGAACTGTATCTAATGAAAAACGGCTTCACCAATGTTGTAGATATTACGCAATCCCTTCAAGTCCAGTTTGTTCCCAATTTAATTAAAGTGAGTTTAAGTGAAAACGAATTTGTGAATATAGACGAACACGCGTTTTCATCAATGGCTTCAAGTGTAATAGAAGAATTAAATTTAGTGTTGTGCCAAATTGAAAACATTAGTTCAAAAGCTTTGCTGCCTCTTCGCAAACTACAAGTTTTGCGATTGGGAGAGAACAATTTTGAGGCGTCTACTGTTACGAATTTACTTGAAACGAGTATAGACAATAACGTGCCATTGAAAATGTTAAATCTTTATGGAAATGGATTTAGAAAATCACCTCCTAAAGCAATGCTAAAAGTACTGGCAAAATCGAATATAACCCATTTGTGTATGTCGAAAAACCAGTTTGAAATTATTTCAGACACCACATTCCCTTCGAACGATAAATTGGAATATTTAGATCTGAGAGAAGATGTAATTTTGAATATTACAGCGGATGGTTTTGCTGGAATGTCGAATTTAAAAACTTTGTTGTTAAGTGGAAATAAATTATCCTGTATTCCAGATGGTGTGCTACTGGAATCTCTTACTTACTTGGACCTTTCTACGAACTCTGGAGATAGTTACTTTCCTTCGTATTTTTCACTCGGACGACGAAGATTTTCCAAGATGAAAGCCCTTAAACTTCTGAACCTCTCCTACAATAGAATCAATTCAATTCTAAACGAAAGTTTTGTTGGACTTGACAATTTAGAAATTATGGGACTAAAAAATGCTACAGTGTTTCACATTCAACCTTATTCATTCCAACCTCTTAGGAAACTTAAAATTTTAAATTTGGAAAACAACCCCTTCCCCACAAACACGCCACTCACTGCCGACTTGTTTTACGGACTCGATTCCTTGGAAGTACTTCTCTTGGGAGGATGCATGATTTCCGATTTGAGTGATAAAATTCCAATTTTTTCTCATTTGAAACATTTACACCATTTAGGCCTTGAAAGAAACCACTTGACCACGTTAAGTAGTGACGTGTTTTTCCCATTATCAAAATTGAAAAGCATCGACTTAACTGATAACTTTTTGGTATCGTGGGAACAAAGACTTTTTGAAAATAGTTCTTCCCTTCAAGTGGTTCATGCCGGACACAACAGGATGTCTTATATGACCGAGGCGATGCTGAACGATCTTTCTAATTTAACGCAAATAGACTTGAAAGGGAACCCTTTCAACTGTGATTGTTACAGTCTCCAACCCCTAATCAAGTGGATGGAATTTCATATAAACTTATCGGTTCTTAATAACACTGAACTGTATCCAAACTGTGTTTTCTCAAGTGGCAATACAACATCTATCAATGTAGATTATTTAAAAGTGATTAGGAACAAGATGGCGAAATGTGATCAACTGATTCAAAATTTTTCCTTCATTCCGTTGATTGTGATCGCGATTATTATTACCGTTATTACATGTATTACGTACTTGTACAGATGGCAAATAAAATATTTTTTGTTCGTTATTTCATTGAGATTGGCAAAACGCAAAAGACTTCTACCAAAACAAAAATGTGACGAACAGCAATCCTTTCATTATGACGCTTTTGTTTCCTATAGTAATGAAGACAGAGAATTTGTGGTGAAATTGGTAACAATGTTGGAAAATCATGAACCCTACTACAAGTTGTGTGTCTACGAGCGAGATTTTCAAGTGGGTGCAATAATTACAAGTGAGGTGCTTGAGAATGTTGCGAAAAGTAGAAAAACGTTGTTGATTATATCAGATTCCTATGTCAGATCCCATTGGTGCAGGTGGGAAGTCCAAATAGCTGAACACTACAAACTTTTAGAGAAAGAAAGCTACGACGTTTGTACCGATGACTCGATAATTTTGGTCAAACTGGGAGAGATCACGTCTTCCAAACTGTCGTCAACGTTGAAGTACTTAATGAAAACCAGAATATATTTGCAATGGGATTCTGATCTTAGAAAGCAAGACATATTTTGGGAGAAATTAAGACAAATTCTTGCACCCCCAAAGTGAAAATGAAACATCCATTGGAACCAAGGAAGTCAATATGTTTTATCTGTCAGAAACGCCATTTGTTAAATGATTGAGGAATTAACTTCAGAGGCTTTGTCTAAATACAGCCCTGTTATCCTTTTAAACGATTTAAAGGATGATGTGATGATGAAATTTGTTGATGTGCTGTACTTCGACATAAAATTAAACGATGTACTTAAATACCAAATTTATTGTAACAATTTACATTTTAAGTAGGTAATTAAAGCTGTTTTGTAATAATTTTCGATAGGAAATCGAAAAATTTACTTACTTGTCGATTTTGATATCTGGATATGTACATATTTTTATACCTAAACACATGTTGCAGTGCTCAAGGAAATTTTAAATAAATACAACTTTTCGACTAACAATAATAAAAATATTCTTAAGCTTTTATTTACAATTGTACAATATTATCTTGTAAAATAAATAGTGATTTAACTACGTCGTGTTCGCTTAATTATTTACAACGTTTTGTACATTTAACTTTAACATTTTCTTTGGTTAATAACTTAATCACATTTTGGTTGACATGTTTCTCTTCAGGTTCCATTGTCGTTTGCATCATGAATAGATTGTCATTAATATCATCTAAAATGTTCAATCATTTTGTTATAAATATTTATAGATAATGTTACTTATTTTTACCTCTTCTAAAGAAAGTGGATTGCTTTTCATTTTGGTATCTAAACTGTGGTATCTTTCTGAAATCAAAGAAACGAATTTTAAAAAGCACATGTTTGGATTTAGTCAGCCATTTTGATTACCGTGAGCCAAATGGAGTCGCACCATTGCCATGATATAATTTTCGGTCGTCAGTATTCTGTTTTTTGCAAATCTTAAAACCAAACATTCCAAAACTTTATTGCTAACAGTACATCCAGCTTCCCATAACAGGGACCTTAAATTATAACTCGACGTTTTACCACTGCTATGACCTCTTTCGAACTTTTGAAAGGCCAACTGCAAACAGTAGCAAATACTATTAAAGGCATCTGCACAGGGTGATCGATGATTTCGTACCCTCCAAAACTGAAGCATTGCCATAATTACTGGTATGTCTGCTATGTTTATTTTACCACAAATGTTGTAGTCCCTTAACATAATTAAACTTTTGCACAACTCCAAACTCGGTTTCTCCGATAAGTATATCTTCCAATGGGATTTCAAAATTTTTTGTAACTGACTTGCATCGACTTCTGTGGGATATTTATGGAGTAATTTGTTCAGGATTATGTTCCCATCTTTCTATAAAGATTATGTCACAATCATTACAAAGCTAAATTCAACATTTAAACGTGTTGTTACCAAAATTGGAGAAGTATCTTCCAAAAATTCTGTGACTATATTTCTGATGACCATGTTATCTTCATTTACTTCCCTGTTAAAGCAATAAAAGTAAACAAATCTAATTGCGACAAATATAACACTTTTTTATTACCAAATGTTGCTTTGTTCGTCGGTGAAGATTCGCAATAAAAATTTTCCATCTAAATTTGGAACGTTTGTTTGTGGGACAACTATGTAATCACCAGCAGGTAATGTGAAGAATGTGACAACCTCTCTTGCCACAGAATGGTTTGTTACATCTAGTGGTTTCTGTAAAGTTAACATTATACGACCAAGAATGATGAATGAATGTAGTGGAGGACTCACGTGATCGGTTACGAATTGAGGAGTTAACCTGGGCATACCGTGAGGTACTTCGTAAACGGCAAAACCAATAGCAAATAACGGCTTTCGTTTTTTGGATTCACTTTGGTGCGTTTCGTAGACTTGAGTAACTGATACAACTACATGGCATTTGTTGGAAGACGTTCTAGGAATTTGGATATGGAATTGCGGATTCATGGCAGTCGTCTCTGTAATAAAACAGCAAAATTCGAATCGATTGATAACTTGTCTGTTGCTACCATCATCAGTATTTCGAAAACATTGCCGATTTCAGAATTTTTTGAACAAAAGAATTTGGATAATCCAAATTTGTTCATGTATTTTTTTGTTATTCCGATTGTAATTTTCTACACCTTAAGAACTGAAGGGGGAGAATTAGTTCTTTTTACCTAAATATGTTGGCCCTCCACCAGCATTATATCCTGCTCTCCACCTTCTTCTGGCAAGTACTGCTCTCCAGGGTTGTTTTGAATGAAGAGCAGGTTCTACCATCCAGTCATCAGGTCCAATATGAACTAAATCTAACTGCGTAAAATGTCGCGCAAAATCTTCAAATGACATCCTATAAACCAATCAAGTTACGATCCTTGACCGAGCGATATTATGAAAATTAAATAAACCTACCAAAATTCGCCATCGTTAGCAACCCTGACACTTAATAATTCTTTGTCTCTAGGGGAGAGTCCATCCCATTCCCACGATCTTTCGCTCCATGCCCCAGACCACTCCCCCCTTGCCCACGGATTACGTAATCGAACCAAAGGGGTTTCTCCAGTCGGACCCCTAACCCGCGCTAAGCCCGTTATACTGTATGCGTGTTGAGTGATCAGGCCATTTCTGAGACGTAGTTGACGTTTCGTATCCTTTTCCTATAAAGACGAAGTAATATTTTCGGTAGTTTTTGTTTTCTTCCAGAGGGGATGAATTTAAAGTAATTCATAATTTTGCTTTGAAAGATTCTTATTGTATATACACTATTTTGCTTTTGAAACACGTGGATTTCAGTTCTAATTCATTAGGCATTAGAGAAAAGAACGTATTTTAAGAATGTGTAACGTTTGAAGACTATTTTGCTTTTGAAATACGTGGATTTCAGTTCTAATTCATTAGGCATTAGAGAAAAGAACGTATTTTAAGAATGTGTAAAGTTTAAAGACTATTTTGCTTTTGAAATACGTGNAGGTAAATACTGCTTCCAGTTTACAAGTGTAAATATTTCTGCAACTTTACGTATCAACAATTTGCAGTATTTGTAGTCACTATATGCCTTCATGTTTTAGTTCATTTGAACTACTCAAACAATACTTGAATGATAATGTCAATTTCGCTAGTGGTAAATTTAAGCGAATACGTTTTAAGACCCAAGGATTTATAAGGTTCATTGTTTATAAATGTTTTATGTATATTCGTTTGCAATAAATAGTAGCTTGAAAACAGGTATTAATGTTTAAATTTCTGAATTAAATTGTCTCGATAGCTATGACGTCAGAAGCATCTCAAGATCGAGAGTGCAAATCAAACGGCTTTGATGCACACGAACTACAAGAACATGGGCAACAGTGTAGAAGAAAGATACACAGTGTGATTTTTTCGTGATAAAAAAAAACATTTTTTAGGTAAATACTGCTTCCAGTTTACAAGTGTAAATATTTCTGCAACTTTACGTATCAACAATTTGCAGTATTTGTAGTCACTATATGCCTTCATGTTTTAGTTCATTTGAACTACTCAAACAATACTTGAATGATAATGTCAATTTCGCTAGTGGTAAATTTAAGCGAATACGTTTTAAGACCCAAGGATTTATAAGGTTCATTGTTTATAAATGTTTTATGTATATTCGTTTGCAATAAATAGTAGCTTGAAAACAGGTATTAATGTTTAAATTTCTGAATTAAATTGTCTCGATAGCTATGACGTCAGAAGCATCTCAAGATCGAGAGTGCAAATCAAACGGCTTTGATGCACACGAACTACAAGAACATGGGCAACAGTGTAGAAGAAAGATACACAGTGTGATTTTTTCGTGATAAAAAAAAACATTTTTTAGGTAAATACTGCTTCCAGTTTACAAGTGTAAATATTTCTGCAACTTTACGTATCAACAATTTGCAGTATTTGTAGTCACTATATGCCTTCATGTTTTAGTTCATTTGAACTACTCAAACAATACTTGAATGATAATGTCAATTTCGCTAGTGGTAAATTTAAGCGAATACGTTTTAAGACCCAAGGATTTATAAGGTTCATTGTTTATAAATGTTTTATGTATATTCGTTTGCAATAAATAGTAGCTTGAAAACAGGTATTAATGTTTAAATTTCTGAATTAAATTGTCTCGATAGCTATGACGTCAGAAGCATCTCAAGATCGAGAGTGCAAATCAAACGGCTTTGATGCACACGAACTACAAGAACATGGGCAACAGTGTAGAAGAAAGATACACAGTGTGATTTTTTCGTGATAAAAAAAAACATTTTTTAGGTAAATACTGCTTCCAGTTTACAAGTGTAAATATTTCTGCAACTTTACGTATCAACAATTTGCAGTATTTGTAGTCACTATATGCCTTCATGTTTTAGTTCATTTGAACTACTCAAACAATACTTGAATGATAATGTCAATTTCGCTAGTGGTAAATTTAAGCGAATACGTTTTAAGACCCAAGGATTTATAAGGTTCATTGTTTATAAATGTTTTATGTATATTCGTTTGCAATAAATAGTAGCTTGAAAACAGGTATTAATGTTTAAATTTCTGAATTAAATTGTCTCGATAGCTATGACGTCAGAAGCATCTCAAGATCGAGAGTGCAAATCAAACGGCTTTGATGCACACGAACTACAAGAACATGGGCAACAGTGTAGAAGAAAGATACACAGTGTGATTTTTTCGTGATAAAAAAAAACATTTTTTAGGTAAATACTGCTTCCAGTTTACAAGTGTAAATATTTCTGCAACTTTACGTATCAACAATTTGCAGTATTTGTAGTCACTATATGCCTTCATGTTTTAGTTCATTTGAACTACTCAAACAATACTTGAATGATAATGTCAATTTCGCTAGTGGTAAATTTAAGCGAATACGTTTTAAGACCCAAGGATTTATAAGGTTCATTGTTTATAAATGTTTTATGTATATTCGTTTGCAATAAATAGTAGCTTGAAAACAGGTATTAATGTTTAAATTTCTGAATTAAATTGTCTCGATAGCTATGACGTCAGAAGCATCTCAAGATCGAGAGTGCAAATCAAACGGCTTTGATGCACACGAACTACAAGAACATGGGCAACAGTGTAGAAGAAAGATACACAGTGTGATTTTTTCGTGATAAAAAAAAACATTTTTTAGGTAAATACTGCTTCCAGTTTACAAGTGTAAATATTTCTGCAACTTTACGTATCAACAATTTGCAGTATTTGTAGTCACTATATGCCTTCATGTTTTAGTTCATTTGAACTACTCAAACAATACTTGAATGATAATGTCAATTTCGCTAGTGGTAAATTTAAGCGAATACGTTTTAAGACCCAAGGATTTATAAGGTTCATTGTTTATAAATGTTTTATGTATATTCGTTTGCAATAAATAGTAGCTTGAAAACAGGTATTAATGTTTAAATTTCTGAATTAAATTGTCTCGATAGCTATGACGTCAGAAGCATCTCAAGATCGAGAGTGCAAATCAAACGGCTTTGATGCACACGAACTACAAGAACATGGGCAACAGTGTAGAAGAAAGATACACAGTGTGATTTTTTCGTGATAAAAAAAAACATTTTTTAGGTAAATACTGCTTCCAGTTTACAAGTGTAAATATTTCTGCAACTTTACGTATCAACAATTTGCAGTATTTGTAGTCACTATATGCCTTCATGTTTTAGTTCATTTGAACTACTCAAACAATACTTGAATGATAATGTCAATTTCGCTAGTGGTAAATTTAAGCGAATACGTTTTAAGACCCAAGGATTTATAAGGTTCATTGTTTATAAATGTTTTATGTATATTCGTTTGCAATAAATAGTAGCTTGAAAACAGGTATTAATGTTTAAATTTCTGAATTAAATTGTCTCGATAGCTATGACGTCAGAAGCATCTCAAGATCGAGAGTGCAAATCAAACGGCTTTGATGCACACGAACTACAAGAACATGGGCAACAGTGTAGAAGAAAGATACACAGTGTGATTTTTTCGTGATAAAAAAAAACATTTTTTAGGTAAATACTGCTTCCAGTTTACAAGTGTAAATATTTCTGCAACTTTACGTATCAACAATTTGCAGTATTTGTAGTCACTATATGCCTTCATGTTTTAGTTCATTTGAACTACTCAAACAATACTTGAATGATAATGCCAATTTCGCTAGTGGTAAATTTAAGCGAATACGTTTTAAGACCCAAGGATTTATAGGGTTCATTGTTTATAAATGTTTTATGCATATTCGTTTGCAATAAATAATGGCTTGAAAACAGGTATTAATGTTTAAATACAAGAGTAAATATTTCTGTAACTTTACATATCAATAATTTGCTATATTTGTCGTCTTTATATGGTTTCATGTCTTGGTTCATTTGAACTACTCAAACAATACGTCAATGATGATGTTTATTTCGCTCATGGTAAATTTAGGCAAAATATTTATTTCCGTTTCCAATTTTCCATTATTTTATTATCGAATGTTAAATAAATTATCAATTAATGCATCTGTATGTGTTTATTTAGACACTTTCTGTATAGTTTAATCCATACGCCCTATTATACACCAAAAGTAGTAGTAAATTACAAACGATGTATTGATGTTACAGTTTGTTGAACTGTAGTACATACGTAAATACGGAGGATGTTTTGTTTGCGTTTCAATAAGTGAAATATTTTGCGAGACGTCTTGCAACGTGCGCATGTTTTGTTTGCAATAAAAGCAACACTTTGCAAAGTTATTTTCTTCTAATTACTCTAGATGTTTGATATCATATTTCAAATTTCCTTTGATAGGCTCCCCGGGGCAAACCTATAAAGAAATCGTATTAACCGAAGAATTCTTTTAAAACGCGATACTCGTTCAAGTTAGCAGTTGACTTTGATTAATGTCGAACTTATTCTTTTAATAATTGGCCTTTGCAGATGCCCCATTTCTTGTTGTTGTTGTTGTGTTTTTTCTTCTTTTCATTATTCATTGCTTTGCTTTTGATTTGTTGTTCCTTTTGTAAAACGATTGCGGCGAATTCTTGAGAGCGTTTGTTCTGTTAGAATTCCTCTCGATTTATAGGGATAACTGTAGCTGTTACTGTACGTATTTATCTGGTTAACGTGGTGATGACAGGAACTTATTAAGTTATTGAATACACACGATTGAATTTAATACACGCTCGATAGAAAATGGAAAATAAAAAACCTTTTAATTACCTAGGCTAAGTGTAACAATAACAGGTTTTTCTATTTGTGATTGAAATAATTTTCAGGCAGCTTAATATATTAGAATACAATGCTTATAATAACCAACATGTATGGAAACTTTACGTAACTTAGGAGAAAGGAAATTGATTTGAGGTTATAGTACAAGACTTGGTCGTGTTGTATGACTGCTTTTCAAAATTAGTAAATAAATGTTATCCTATTTTATATTAATTTGTATTGGGAACATGGCATCTCTAATCGAGAAGAACTATCTCCAAAATGCCAACAGAAGATCCGCCACGTCGTTATGACGTCAAGGAAACAACAGTTGATGCAAATGAACTAACTGCCTAAGACAATTAAACTAAACAATAAAAGAAAATTAAAGTAGACTATGCTGCTCACATTTGTACTGAAGACGTAGATACTATTCGTGAACCTAGCATTTATTTTAAAGCTTTATTCAGTTTTGTCAATAACTCTTAGAATCCATGACCGAATTTATAAAAGGGCATTTGGGACCGGTGCCCAGGAACCTCACAAAGTAAGGGTCAAATGTGTGTTAGTAGTTCCCATGCTATGTCCAAATATCAAGATTTCCTCTCTCTCTTACCTTCTCATATTCTTATTTCACGTTTTAGCTTATCCTTATATTATTTACTTACTCTCACGTTAATTCCTCAGTTATTCATCCTACATGAATCATGACCTGCCAACTGTTCCTTACTAATCCAAGGCAAGGTCATGGGGAAGACCTTCGAAGGCGACAGAAAAACCCAAATATGAGAAGAAACCGTTAAAACACATCGGAAAATTTTTGGAAATATCATCAGTATTTTGTATTAATCTTCTAAATCAGTCTAACATCCCCCAACATTATTTGTGTTTATCAATTCCTTCAAAATTATTATTTACAATGACGAGAACTCCGTCAAAACTTGATGAACTTTGTTATGAGCAAAAAGCTATTTCCACAAAAACATCTACAATTTTGGTAACTCTAAAATTAGTTCATATCCATCTAGAAGTGATAATCCACTGTAATAGTACGAAAAACATCAAATATAATTCAGTAATTCTTGACAGTTCCAAGTAACACAGCTAGCTGCCGATGCTTTTCGGGTAGGTTGCATATTACCCAACAAATATAAAATTATCTATTGATGAATTGGACAGCAGAAAACAAAACTCTGAAAATTTAAATGGTACCGCGTTTTCAATTTAATTTTGTTATTGTTCGTTGCCTCTAACGGTACGATTGCTTGGTCATTCCTTGAACGATTCCAAACGATGTTTGTAAACATAACAGTGGCCTACTTTTACTCCAATCGGAAACCTCTCGGCAATTACATAACTTTATTTTACAATTAGATTCCATATGTCCATAATGTCCTGTCGTCCATTAAAGTAAGTAGAAGTTTCAGTGATGATTATTAATATGCGTCAAGTTCGACGCTCGCACATGAGTACCCGTTTGGTTACATGCGTGCTCATTGTGGAAAATAATCACGAAACCTAACGTTTGGTATACAAAGTAGATGTTAATATTAACCAAGAGGTAAACAAATTGATCCATGATGGCAGTTGTCGTTTTCTTCACCGGAATCGAATGTTTACTTTGCAAATTATCGGCAACATGAAAGCAGGTCGTGTGGGTGCCGGTTGCGGTATGCGGTTAGCGTGTACCGAAATTCCAACCAGCACTTGCTTTTATCTGTATTATGTGTTATTCATGTTACAACGGACGCAGGCATCAATTCAAAAAATTATTATTTATTTCACAGTATTATCCTTACACGATATAGAAACTTTTTATTGGAATTTTATCATCATAAGGTCGTTAGGCGCAGGGGCGGCCTTAACCATCGGAAGGTTCCGGGCGGGTAAATTTTTGCGAGGCCCTGGTCTTTGTGGAATTAATTTTAATGATGAAACTTGAAAAATGCAAAGTGATTCATAAAAAAGTTTACAGTCTTAAAATTGTTTACCGAAAATTAAAAAAAATTGATAGACAAAGATAGCAAATTTGCCGTTTCTTTTAAGACTATTAAGAAATTCAAATAAACATTAGTGGTATATACTATTACTACCTAATATTTTTCTAATTAGATTGTTGTGGGCGTGTGAGAGGCCCCTGCAAGAGCGAGACCCCGGGCGGTTGCCCTGTTCGCCACCCCCAAAGGCCGCCCCTGGTTAGGCGTAAGACTGGTTGGATACGCACTTCAACTCTTTCCTATCCTGAACTAATCTTCGCATTTCCATAAAACTAGAACAACCCAAATCCTTAACCCAGTGGTTTCCAACTTGTGGGGCGCGCCCCCCTAGGGGCAAAGCGAGCATGCAGCTGTTTCCAAAATATCATTTTCGAATACAAACCAAAAAAGTCGAATAGGTGTCAAAAAAATGAATCAGCAAAATAGGTATACGTAATCCACAATCCTCGCCGCGAATTTTTCGGGTACAAATGCTAAAACATCCATCCATACTCTTGCTGGAATATCAGTGGAGTATTTATGAAATTAGATTTTTAGAAAAATTAAGGGGGCGCAACAATTTTTTTTTAAAGGGGGGCGCAGGTACAAAAAGGTTGGAAACCACTGCCTTAAACATTTGCGAACACTAATCTAATCTAGGTCTACCTCTACCCCTTCTAACTTCTGTTTCTGCCTGTAATATACGCACTCTTTTTTTTTCTAACGTTTTCTCTATTGTTACCCGTAAAGCTAGAATGGCCTCTCGCATTCCTCTATTTCTTCTAAACCCAAATTGATCTTCCCCTAATAATTCTTCCGCCCTTTTTTCCATCCTCTTCTGTATAATTCTAGTTAAGATTTTTGACGCATGAGAAGTTAAGCTAATTGTTATAAATGCCTCTCTTTTTAGGTATGGTTACTACCACGTTCCGTTTATAATCGTCTGGAATTTTCCTTGTCTCGTAAATGTGACTAACTATTTTAGAATGTTTTAGAATTTCCCCCTGTATCCCATCTACACCTGGCACCTTATTATTCTTTAAGTTTTTTAATGCTACATCGAACTCTTCTCTCATGGGACAACCTAACTCATCTATCTCCACACTATCTTCCTTCTCTAATACATCTCCTAATTCATGGCCTGAGTATAGGTTCTCTAAATATTCTTTCCATATATCTGCCTTTTCGGCATTTTCTATCAAAATAACCTCTGCCTCGTTTCTTATATTATTACTACTGTACCCTACATCTCTAAAATTCCTTTTAATTATAAGCCTTATTGGTTTTACCTACTAATAAAATTTACCACCTATTTTATTTCTGTTAATGCCTCTTTTTCAAATCGCAGAATTCATGCCATGTACCTACCAAAGATACCTTCGAACAGTGGTGTTGTGCTAATTTTTTTTTACCGGAACGCATATATATAATTATATAGACAGGGCCGATCCTGGGTAGGCCGCCCTTTGTGCGGTCTCATGTCCCAAATTTGACGACGACGGGGGGGGGGATTTTCCCCAATTTTCGCCCGTCGCCAGGATCGGCCCTGTTCACGATTCGGAAAAACAAGCCTGTTCGTTCCGGTTTTTGTTCCGGTTCGGGTTCGGTTCAAACCCTTGTTTATAATAATACATATAAAAATTCGTCAAAAAATAGAAAAAAAAATCAGCAATTCTTTTTAATTTTTTTTTCAATACNTCATTAGGCATTAGAGAAAAGAACGTATTTTAAGAATGTGTAACGTTTGAAGACTATTTTGCTTTTCACATATGCGGATTTCAGTTATGATTCATTAGATATTAAAGAAAATAACGTGTTTTAAGAATGTGTAACGTTTGAAGTTTGAACCAGTTTTAAAATACTTGTATTGTATAGGTACCGTTTTGATTCCCCAAGTCATATTAGCCCATTGACCTGCAAACACTTCAATGAGTTAAAATTCACTTACCGGTGTAATGTTAGCTATTAGAAGACTAGATCTAGGAACTGCACTGTTTAGTACTTGGAATGTTAGAAATCGATCCTGGTGGGTTAAACTGAAACTTTGTACAATACCCCCAGTTAAATCTTGCAGTGCTCTGGTGGTGGAACCGTGAGATAAATTCTCATAGCAGCCGTAAAATCTGAAAAGTGCAGGCATTGTAACAAAAAATACTTAATAAAAAAAATTAGGGCAAGTACTTTGCGTAAGCCTTTTCTAATAGTGCTGCCCAAAATTCAGTGGCGTTCGTGGAATGCATATAAACCAAACGACCTTTGAATGTTGGCAGTTTGTCGTCCACCAGAATTTCTCTCCATTCCCCAAAATGCCAAAACCTAAACCTATAACAAAAGAAACGCTCCCTTAAAACTATGAAAATCGACGAAGAAAAAAAAAAGAGAGTCAAAAATCTAGAAAATGTATATTTATATCCAAAGATTTCTAGTGTGGACGTATATATTTTTGGTGTAATATTAGAAATAGGTAAAGCTTATATTCTGTAACCAACCAGCTCAAGATCATTAATCTAAATCGTGTTAATCGGCCATAACAGTTAGCTGTATTATGCCTAGCTCCAGGTTATTTCTTCAGTCTCCTGATAAATGCAATTAAGTCTTTTCATTAGAGGATTGCACGCAAAGCTTCTGCGAACTGAGACAGGAAAATTCATAAAGTACAATTTTTCCAGGTGCCGCAACTAGTTATCAGTTCTTAATTAGAGTTATTTGTAGAACAAGATTTCACTCGTCGATTAAATTAAACGATACTGGGTGGTCTGTAGGAGGTGGCGTATTTAGCTACCCAGTTTAACCGTTGCTCCGCAGAAATGAAATCATTTAACTCACTTTCTATTACAGTTATTTGGGTATGTAGGTATGTCAGGAAGAAAAACAGTATCCACTGTTTTGAAGATTTAATTATTAACGAATTTTAATAGCCGCATAATTTAACAGAGACGAAAATTAATTTTTTATCAGTGAAAGGAATTGCATATTTTGAGAGGAATGTAAAATTACTACAGTTCTTCGTAAGGATTTAAAAGTTATAAATTTTTATGAAAACAGTTAAGCAGTTGCCTTTCGCTTTGAATATAAATTGTAAACTTCTAAGTTAAGCAGTCATATTTAAAAATTGTTTTTTAGAAGTTTAAACATGAAAAAAATTGTCCGTTATTGCCATTTTTATTTATGGTAGTGCAAATTTATTCAAATTAGTTTACCATTGGAAAGGTACGTTAAATTATAGTAGAACAATATTAAAATAAGAGAAATGTTATAACGTAACAAATCATGAAATGGGAAAGGTGTTAGGAGATTTGGATTTATTACAAATACGTTTTAAGGCCCATGTATTTACAAAGTTCATTGTTTATAAATGTTTTATGTATATTCGTTTGCAATAAATAATAGTTTGAAAACAGGCATTAATGTTTAAATTTTTGAATTAAACTGTCTCAATAGCAATGACGTCAGAAGTATGTCACGATCGAGAGAGCAAATCAAAAGGCTTTGATGCAGACGAACTACGAGAACATGGACAACAGTGTAGAAGAAAGATACACAGTGTGACTTTTTTGTGATAAATAAAAAAAAACATTTTTTAGGTATCTACTGCTTTCAGTTTACATCTTATATTTCTGCAACTTTACATATCAACAATTTGCAGTATTTGTAGTCATTATATGCCTTCATGTTTTAGTTCATTTGAACTACTCAAACAATACTTGAATGATAATGTCAATTTCGCTAGTGGTAAATTTAAGCGAATACGTTTTAAGACCCAAGGATTTATAAGGTTCATTGTTTATAAATGTTTTATGTATATTCGTTTGCAATAAATAGTAGCTTGAAAACAGGTATTAATGTTTAAATTTCTGAATTAAATTGTCTCGATAGCTATGACGTCAGAAGCATCTCAAGATCGAGAGTGCAAATCAAACGGCTTTGATGCACACGAACTACAAGAACATGGGCAACAGTGTAGAAGAAAGATACACAGTGTGATTTTTTCGTGATAAAAAAAAACATTTTTTAGGTAAATACTGCTTCCAGTTTACAAGTGTAAATATTTCTGCAACTTTACGTATCAACAATTTGCAGTATTTGTAGTCACTATATGCCTTCATGTTTTAGTTCATTTGAACTACTCAAACAATACTTGAATGATAATGCCAATTTCGCTAGTGGTAAATTTAAGCGAATACGTTTTAAGACCCAAGGATTTATAGGGTTCATTGTTTATAAATGTTTTATGCATATTCGTTTGCAATAAATAATGGCTTGAAAACAGGTATTAATGTTTAAATACAAGAGTAAATATTTCTGTAACTTTACATATCAATAATTTGCTATATTTGTCGTCTTTATATGGTTTCATGTCTTGGTTCATTTGAACTACTCAAACAATACGTCAATGATGATGTTTATTTCGCTCATGGTAAATTTAGGCAAAATATTTATTTCCGTTTCCAATTTTCCATTATTTTATTATCGAATGTTAAATAAATTATCAATTAATGCATCTGTATGTGTTTATTTAGACACTTTCTGTATAGTTTAATCCATACGCCCTATTATACACCAAAAGTAGTAGTAAATTACAAACGATGTATTGATGTTACAGTTTGTTGAACTGTAGTACATACGTAAATACGGAGGATGTTTTGTTTGCGTTTCAATAAGTGAAATATTTTGCGAGACGTCTTGCAACGTGCGCATGTTTTGTTTGCAATAAAAGCAACACTTTGCAAAGTTATTTTCTTCTAATTACTCTAGATGTTTGATATCATATTTCAAATTTCCTTTGATAGGCTCCCCGGGGCAAACCTATAAAGAAATCGTATTAACCGAAGAATTCTTTTAAAACGCGATACTCGTTCAAGTTAGCAGTTGACTTTGATTAATGTCGAACTTATTCTTTTAATAATTGGCCTTTGCAGATGCCCCATTTCTTGTTGTTGTTGTTGTGTTTTTTCTTCTTTTCATTATTCATTGCTTTGCTTTTGATTTGTTGTTCCTTTTGTAAAACGATTGCGGCGAATTCTTGAGAGCGTTTGTTCTGTTAGAATTCCTCTCGATTTATAGGGATAACTGTAGCTGTTACTGTACGTATTTATCTGGTTAACGTGGTGATGACAGGAACTTATTAAGTTATTGAATACACACGATTGAATTTAATACACGCTCGATAGAAAATGGAAAATAAAAAACCTTTTAATTACCTAGGCTAAGTGTAACAATAACAGGTTTTTCTATTTGTGATTGAAATAATTTTCAGGCAGCTTAATATATTAGAATACAATGCTTATAATAACCAACATGTATGGAAACTTTACGTAACTTAGGAGAAAGGAAATTGATTTGAGGTTATAGTACAAGACTTGGTCGTGTTGTATGACTGCTTTTCAAAATTAGTAAATAAATGTTATCCTATTTTATATTAATTTGTATTGGGAACATGGCATCTCTAATCGAGAAGAACTATCTCCAAAATGCCAACAGAAGATCCGCCACGTCGTTATGACGTCAAGGAAACAACAGTTGATGCAAATGAACTAACTGCCTAAGACAATTAAACTAAACAATAAAAGAAAATTAAAGTAGACTATGCTGCTCACATTTGTACTGAAGACGTAGATACTATTCGTGAACCTAGCATTTATTTTAAAGCTTTATTCAGTTTTGTCAATAACTCTTAGAATCCATGACCGAATTTATAAAAGGGCATTTGGGACCGGTGCCCAGGAACCTCACAAAGTAAGGGTCAAATGTGTGTTAGTAGTTCCCATGCTATGTCCAAATATCAAGATTTCCTCTCTCTCTTACCTTCTCATATTCTTATTTCACGTTTTAGCTTATCCTTATATTATTTACTTACTCTCACGTTAATTCCTCAGTTATTCATCCTACATGAATCATGACCTGCCAACTGTTCCTTACTAATCCAAGGCAAGGTCATGGGGAAGACCTTCGAAGGCGACAGAAAAACCCAAATATGAGAAGAAACCGTTAAAACACATCGGAAAATTTTTGGAAATATCATCAGTATTTTGTATTAATCTTCTAAATCAGTCTAACATCCCCCAACATTATTTGTGTTTATCAATTCCTTCAAAATTATTATTTACAATGACGAGAACTCCGTCAAAACTTGATGAACTTTGTTATGAGCAAAAAGCTATTTCCACAAAAACATCTACAATTTTGGTAACTCTAAAATTAGTTCATATCCATCTAGAAGTGATAATCCACTGTAATAGTACGAAAAACATCAAATATAATTCAGTAATTCTTGACAGTTCCAAGTAACACAGCTAGCTGCCGATGCTTTTCGGGTAGGTTGCATATTACCCAACAAATATAAAATTATCTATTGATGAATTGGACAGCAGAAAACAAAACTCTGAAAATTTAAATGGTACCGCGTTTTCAATTTAATTTTGTTATTGTTCGTTGCCTCTAACGGTACGATTGCTTGGTCATTCCTTGAACGATTCCAAACGATGTTTGTAAACATAACAGTGGCCTACTTTTACTCCAATCGGAAACCTCTCGGCAATTACATAACTTTATTTTACAATTAGATTCCATATGTCCATAATGTCCTGTCGTCCATTAAAGTAAGTAGAAGTTTCAGTGATGATTATTAATATGCGTCAAGTTCGACGCTCGCACATGAGTACCCGTTTGGTTACATGCGTGCTCATTGTGGAAAATAATCACGAAACCTAACGTTTGGTATACAAAGTAGATGTTAATATTAACCAAGAGGTAAACAAATTGATCCATGATGGCAGTTGTCGTTTTCTTCACCGGAATCGAATGTTTACTTTGCAAATTATCGGCAACATGAAAGCAGGTCGTGTGGGTGCCGGTTGCGGTATGCGGTTAGCGTGTACCGAAATTCCAACCAGCACTTGCTTTTATCTGTATTATGTGTTATTCATGTTACAACGGACGCAGGCATCAATTCAAAAAATTATTATTTATTTCACAGTATTATCCTTACACGATATAGAAACTTTTTATTGGAATTTTATCATCATAAGGTCGTTAGGCGCAGGGGCGGCCTTAACCATCGGAAGGTTCCGGGCGGGTAAATTTTTGCGAGGCCCTGGTCTTTGTGGAATTAATTTTAATGATGATACTTGAAAAATGCAAAGTGATTCATAAATAAGTTTACAGTTTTAAAATTGTTTATCGAAAATTAAAAAAAATTGATAAAGACAAAGATAGCAAATTTGCGGCTTCTTTTAAGACTATTAAGAAATTCAAATAAACATTAGTAGTATGTACTATTACTACCTAATATTTTTCTAATTAGATTGTTGCGCGAGTGTGCG